CTTAAAAAATGTCGATATCTTTTTTTTTCATAAAGTTATGCAATTTAAAAGAAAAAATGAATTTTTATGAAAATTTTTTGAGAATGGTTTACATTTTCAAATGTATCTTTGTTTAAACAAATAAGGTAATAAATCTACCAACGCCATTGTATTTTTGAGAAAATTTCCGATCCAAAGAAAAAAAAATTTGTTTCAATTGATAAATTACAGCCCGATATACAGTCAATCAAAGTCGCCGGGTTAGGCTAACCCATGTTCGTACGGAACGTAACTTTTTTATAGATCGTACCCTGAGGGTTAAAAATGACGAGATTTTAACTGGAATTTAATTCATGATGTGAGACCTTAATATTCTGTCGAGATACGATATTTATTTAATGGCAGTAATAAGTTCGACAGAATTTCTCTCCGTGCGATATCTCAAAATCGGTGAAAAGTTATATCTGACGTGTTGTTATATTTCGATATTACTTTTCGGATTCGCAGACAAGTCTAATAAATCTATCGCCCAACGGGCTCTGAAGTTAATGAATAAGAGGAAGTACCGATCGTGCCTAATAATATTAGCGGGACATATCTGTATTGAAGCTCTCCGTTCCTCGCACGTTGCTCGTAACCTTACCTCACGTATTAGATAAGATTTACGAATTACAGCGGCTCAAGATGGCTATACTTTCGCCACTTCGTAAATCTTCGATCGACCTCATTAGTGTCTCCACCGTCTCTCGGCAAAATATTTTTAATAAGATAACAAGAAGGAACGCCATATTTACATATAAAAATATATCTTATCGTGATTGATCGATGGGATCTATGTATAATATACATGTACATATTATATGAATATAGATAAAACTTCTCTTAACGTACGCCGTGATTCGTTTGATACGTTTCCACACATCACAATTTTCTTAGTAATCCGATGTAATTACGAAGTAATGTATGTAATACCACAGAAGTGGAATGGTCCAATTTGGAGAACGTCCAATACATTATTCACTCCTTAATTTTGCTACATACTTTTAAGCTGCAGTCTTTTTGTTAAAACGTGGCATTCACGTGGATATCAGCTTTATCAGAAAATTTAAAAGCAAACTATAAAGTATTCGGTATATTTTTTATATATGTAGAATAAAATTATAAAAAATCTATAATAATTACAAAATGACATATAAAATACACTTCTTAAACGATCAAAATAATTAGTTTCGTTTATATAATTGCTGTTGATAAAAAAATTCTATAATTGCATTACAAAAGTCTTGTAATGTGTTCTTAAGGACCAATTAATTCAAGAATTAATTAGTTCAATGTTTCCATTGACTTGTTAAGATTCTAAGAACTTAAAATCATAGATTGTACCCTATTGAAATTGTAATTTCGATAACAACTTTCAGAAATAATTATTATAGATTAATTTATACATCGTCTGTGGCAGCATTATCCTTATATAAAACGAGTCGATTATTTACTTATATCCGCGCCATCTTTGGACACGCTGCCGTTCTTATTAAACGCGCTTTGCAGAAAAGAATGGATTTCTTGAATGCAATTAAATATTCCGCAAATAAACAAGATGCTACACCGCCAATCTATTTGTGTGGAAAATTGCCTGACTTTCCGTTAACTAGGTCGAGCGTTCGGTTGCTCTTAGCAAACAAGCAGCGAATCCTTGTTGGCACTTACGTCAATACGTACCGCGAATATTGGATAGTCTGCTTTGAATAGTAGAGAAATACGCCATTGCCGGAAGGGCAACTAACGGGGGGGAAAAAAAAGAAAAGAGGACTTTCTCGACGTATACTTCCTCGACAAGAAGCATCTTTCTCGGCTACGTCCAAATTGGACCCATCCTCTTCTATATTCCGTACATGGTGTCCTGAACGCGCTGCATGCGAAAATACTTTTCTTTTCAAAATGCGAGTACTATACAAATGTGTACTTATTACGCGATATACTCACGCTTGCGGAAAATTAGCGAAATATCTGTTTTGATATTTACGCTTTATTTTTGTCTGCGTTACTCATTGCAATTTAATTGTAAAAAAATTCGGAATAGACATTTGAGATCTTGAATTAAGCTGTTAAGAAATGAAAGCGAAAGGAACTTGATGTATCTGTTCATAAACAGTTTCTCATTTAAAAATACAGAAACTGTATTTATATTTTCATTAATTCGTTATAAATGTCAATTGTATAGCGCTTTTTAATTTAACGTATTACTTAGACAATTAAACTCCACCAACAAAGACAAATCACGGCGCATAGTAAAAAGATCACGTGGTTGTCACGTGTATTGTCAAAACTAATAGACACATATCGCTTCGTGATATAACATAATAAAAATTATGTATCGTTATAAAAGAATATAATTAGTCTGATTTTTCGAACATGTTTAAGCGGCAATTAATATAATTATCTGATAACGTGTCAATACTAAATCAAATATGTTAAAATTATAAACTCGATCAAGTGATTTACCTTCTTTATCATAATTTTTTACAAATCATCTCACCTACGTCAAATATGAATTGAATCTCATATATCATGTACCTTCAGGACACCCTGTACAATTGTATCAGTCCAAATATCTCTTCGGGGTCGTTTTTCGGATTCCATCTATTACCTGAAAGTTATAACAAGGTTGCCCTATTAAGTTTATTCGGTCGGGTCATGTAGACTGTTCGTTAGTCTCGCTTGCGTTTCTTCACATATAATTCGTTCGGCTCCTGTTTCATGCTCCTTTCCATCCTCTTTCGCTTCGCTCTGACGCGATGTGGTGTAGCGAATGGCGCACAAATAATTCACGGTAGTATATTTTGAGTATAAAAGCACTTCTGAGCCGGGAGTTTCAGAAAATGAAATTGCAAGATGGAATAACAGAGAGGGAGAGAAAGAGATGGAGGGAGGGAAGAGGAAAGAAAGGCAAAAGAAGAGAATGACGCAAAGAAATATATCTTTTGTTATTTCGCATACTCGGACGCATCGCGTCCTCAATTATTGATTGACGTATGATGACTAAATCTGCATAAATCGATAATCGTGTCTCCATCTGCTTTTGACATTTGAATCGCAAAAGAATTCTTTAGTTCTCGAGAAGCAATCACGCGAGTCATAATGTCAAAAAAATCAAAAAATGTTAGTTAATCAGATAATTAATCCTTTGTCATGTAACTTTTTCGGAGAAAGAATATTTTATTTTAGAATTTAATATTTGAAAAATTTGGTATTGATATAAAAAAAGTGAATATTAATATGAGAAATTTATCAGGAAGCGAAAACGAGAATATGACTTTTTGGTTTTTTATAAAAAAATTTGACAAATTGAAATATCTCTATTAAACTTATTTTATACATCTTAAAATTTTTTGAGATTTATATATTTTTAAATATGTGCATATTGTTTTAAAACAATTATTTCATTTTACAATTCACAAAAATATAATTGAAATTAGAAAAATATATTTCAATCTTATACAAAATTTTATAAACACATGATGTATAATAAGTGATAAATTTAACATAAAAATTTTAATGTTTACTGTTTTTAACGTTCTGTATAAATTTTCATAGTCAATAAAACATACTTGAATTTTCTCGCTTGATTCTCGAAAATTAAAGAGCAAACGAAGCATGTAATATGATCGTTTGAAGCGAATTAGATAATTTAATTAGTGGAGAATGGTGGTTTGTTGTTTGCCGTTAATTATTTTCTATGTCATATTTTACTGTGTAAAGTTCTTTTCTCCGTGGAGTCTACCTCTGCAATGGCAAAACGTGCCGAGTTTTCTGTCGCGATATTTGCTGATACTCTGCACTGTCTTACTTTGTCGCGCCTTTCCTTTTCTGAAATAACGCTTACAGTAAAAACTAGTGTGATGTATATAGGAAAAACCTCTCTGTGTGGTGAATGTTTTCTCGAAAGAGGAAAGTATTCTATCTATACTAAATATATAAAAGTACTTCAAATTAATTGTCGATCATGTTATTCCAAGCTCACAAATTAAAAACATAATAAATTCTAATATATTGTGTGAATAATATATATATATATATATATATATATATATATATATATATATATATATATGTATAATACGTATTAAGGAGGTTCTACAGATAATGGATGTATCTGAAAATTGGAAAAAACTTTATGGACGTATAAATTGAGATGCGAGAAAAGTGCTCGAAAAATTTTAGCATCGGTTACCGTGTAAAAATTTGCAAAAATGAATTTTGAAATCACAGTTTTTAACATAAGCTACATACGGCAGAGGGGCTCTTGGAGACAGGAAACGAGATATTAATTATATAAAGACGACCTACCAGAGATTAAAAAAACGGAGCTCTTATAGATCTTAATCTAACCTTTTCAGAAATATCGAGAAAAACAAGGGTTATCGCGTAAAATTTTGTGATATTGGCTATTGAAACAGGCCATATCACAGTTCACGTAGCGTGCTTCGAATAACAAGGGAGATTTGGCAATGTCGCAGCGACTGCACCCGCGCGAAAAGTGTACAGCCAGTACAGCACCACAGTATGACAGCACCTCAAACTTAAGCACCTAACGTTTACGAGCGCTTACGGAGAAGTACTCGCTCTAGAATTATGTGAAATTGTGAAATAACCACGGTCATATGAGCAGAACTGTCAAGTTCGCGACGTTACCACATTTTCTTCCATTATAAGCCGCCAGAGTCAAAGGAGCACTTACACGATATTTTTAATTATTCCTCGCTTCGACTAATATGGGTATGATATAAGCTCTAACGTCATCAAAATTCACGAAAATATTTTATGAATACTTAGAATCGATGAATTTGAAGATTTTCTCTTCATCTCTCAACTGACTAGAGAGTACCTGTAGAACCTCCTTAAATAGTAAAAATATAAAAAAAAATAAATTTACATTACTTAAGAATATTACTTAAGAAAGTTTACGTACCATAATTTGTTAAAAATTTTTCAACATTGTATTTTGTAATAATCGAACTTATAATAAAAAACATGAATTATTACATTTTTAATAATGGATAGCTGTATTGCGCGTTTAAAATATCGTAAAGAAATTTATCTCACCGGTATGACGTCACAGCTCTCGCGGAAATAAAAATTCGCTTCGAAAGAAGAGCATTTTCTTCTCGGAGATAAAGTTCTGGAGCAGCGTATACTGTGCAACCTGCCATTGGCTTCACCATCACAGTACCCATCTCGTCTTATCGACACGCGGATATTCTTCACCATCAGACGGCGATGAGCAAAGGACGTGTTGAAAGTCTTCGCGCGAAGAGTTTTTCTCGACTTATCTCAACGAAAGTAAATTAATAATCTGTACACTAGTGGCCCACTTTAGTAAATTTTTGTCTCGATGAAGAATCTTCTATCCCGCCATCTTCTCCGAGATCTCCTCGAGAGTGCCTGTCTGTTGTTTCAACTCACGTTTCAGGATCACGTTAAGTCACTACGAGATTTCAATTTCCCAAGCTCCTCGAAATTACGTACTCCGGATCACGAAAACACGCGTCTTGCGCCCGCGCCACTAACATCGCAACGCGAAAAATCGTATGATTACTGTTCGGTATTATCGAAACAAGTTCGAATCACGCGATGCATTCTTACGTGCATCGGCTCGCCGTCGGTTGATGTAATGATCAGTGAACGCGATGAAGAATATACAATCATTGCACCGAACTGCAACTCGTTGCATCCGGCCTGTCCACGCCCGTCGCGATGTTTCATGCCCTGCGAATGCATCCGGATTGAGAATTCAGAAGTTATTGGAGTAATCTGTAACAGAAGGGTAGATTTGCGTTTCTTATTATTAATTGACAAACGTCAAAAATAGCAAAATTAAAGAAATCAAGTAATGAATATAATTTATATTGCTCAGTCAATTGAATATTGCGTATTTAATAAATGCGTATTTAATTGCGTGATTTTTTATATGCGCGATAATTGCGTATTTAATAAATGCATATTGTTCTTTCCGAGATAACTTAAGCAAATAAAAATAATTGTAATAATAATAAAATTTATTATATTATGGTAATAATAAAATTTATTATAATAAGCTACTCACAAACAAACGATGCAGTTATTATAACATAATTAAATATGTAATATTATAATATTACCTACATTTTCTTTTACGAGTAGATTCTTTGACTAATTTAAAGCTAATGTTTTTTGAATAAATTAATAACATAAATAAAAAAAAATACTGTATAATTCCTTGCTCTCATTTGTAAATTACACTAGAAAAATTACAAAGAGATTGTCAAAATACATCTGAGCATCACACAATTTGTTTACACTTTTGTAGAATCATGCAAATGTTATAATATTACTAAATATCCAAAAAATATCACACATATCTCTTTATCAGTTTCATAACAAATTCTTTAATAAATGGCAATCAGTTTTATCTTAGCAAGATTTATTTAGCTTCCTTTTTGACACTATTTTAATAATAAGGTTTAAATTAAAATTCCAACACTAACGATGTGAGGATAACATTACAAGAAAATTTTATTATGTATTTATAATGCTGAGACTAAATTCTCGCAACATTAATTTCAATAATTTACGAGACACAAGAGAATATCGTGATATTTTTGTTACAAAAAAAATTAAATTTAAAGTTTAATAGAAAACCTATGCATAAAAATAGATATGATAATACTCGAATGAGTTGCATGGTGTAGCTGTTAGAAGAAACACCATCTTACACAGTGTATCGCTTACTCCATCTTCGCCTATCTTTCGGTGCAATCATTTGCTTCCTATACCGGGTAAAAATCGTGTACTCCTAGCAAACGCTTTTGCGAGAGGGAAAAAAAACCTCGTATTACCATAGTCTGGCTCGGCACATTTGACTCACAGAAAAGGTTATTTCCCTTATCCGTTCCCTTTGCCGGAGATTCGGTCGCGAAAACCGCTGTTTACACGATCGATGGTAATGCCGGTGCGCGGGGATGTACGTATATATTCGCTCACATGGTGGATGCGAATTACGTATTAGGACGGTGAGAGGGTGGCGGCGGATGAGTGGCGCTGTATAGTTTAAGTACGTTTCATTTGAATATATTAATTATTCATTTTACATGCCGGCGCGGAAGCCGCGTATCGCGTTAATCCTTGCGCGATTACCGAGTATGTCGAGCACGATTTTGCGCCGATCACGATTCATCGCTTGCATTTATGCGTGATGAAATAATTTGCGCAGTGTCGATGGTAAACTGGTGTTCCAATTAATGACTTTGATTACTTATATTCACAATCATTTCCTTTTGAAGAAAAGCCCAATGGTATGCTATATATGATTGCACTGATTTTCGAAAACAATCGAAATTAGCAAAATTAGTTTGAGATGTAGGACAGACAAATACAAAATGGTGCGACAGTACATATTTTAATAAAACATTCGATCTACAAGTTATATTTTAAAGATTATTGTCGGAACAATGTTTGTTCAATACTTCGAAAAGTTTTTGGTCTTTTAAGGCATATTAAATAAATATTAAAACATTAATTATTAATTTTTCATCGTTCTTTATCTGTTAATCAGAGAAATTGCTTCATTTCACTTTCATAGTTTGATATTAGGATTAATATATTTTTAAAAAAGTATATATAAATTTCGAAATAAGTCTAGATTTCAAATTCCAGTGCAAAGTTACGAAAGATCTCATGCAATCTTGACATATTAATCATACGAACTTAATGATATTTGTATTGCAAATTGACTTTATCAACAAAAGTTTATTATAAAATTAAACCATACGTAAACAATTTGTTAATATAAGTTATTAAACAATATATTAAATATATTTTATATAAAGTATTATTGATGCTATATCATTTTCATATACAAATTGATATAAATATTATAAATGAATTACAAGATTTTAAGAGATAGATGAGGCATATACATAGCTTTTGAACAAAATTATGCTCACGCTATTAATACTTCACGCACAATATGCATGTACACATAATATTGGTCAACGTTATTAACATTTGTGATTTATGGTATAGTAATCTATCACAGTCATTGTATATTAATTTCAATTGATAGTTAATAAATACGCATCGAGAGCATGCAGAGATACATGCAGAGATACAGCCTCTATTATTCTATACTGTAATCCGATAATTATGTCTGTAGTGTAGCGCTGTAGCAAACAAGTAGGTCATCAATATCAGTATGTCATCGCAAGCCGGTTATGGATCACTTTAAGGCGATGTACGATGATATCAACGAATTTAGTTATTGCGAAATTCCTCTATTTATATATAGTTTTATTTGCATAATATTTCTTTAATCAAATCGTACCTATAGTTTTTCTATACATCAATTTCGCGCAAACTATTTTTCAATAAAGAATATATACATATATGCAATGCACATAATGATTGATACGTAAATTATGTAAATTTTAATATGGAAATAGAATACATCTGTATAAAACTAGTTACGCGAATTATTGAATCTATAAAAAATACAATAATGTAATTTCATTTAAACGTATTATTTTATTAGTACAATTTTCCGATTCATGCAAATGCCAAATAATTTTAAATACCTATAACTTGCCGGAATGGAGAGACGAACACACACCGATTAATACAATTTCATTTTTCAGTTTAAATTTCACGATTTAAATTTCAGTTAATATTCGCCTTCATTCAAATATTATTAAATACGACATTATTATATTACGGTGAAGAGCGAGAGGATTTACTTTTTTTTTATACGGAAGGTAATTCGAGATCGAATAGGTTAATAAGCTCTTATACAAGCAATTTCAGTCTTCCATTCTTCGCGGTTCATCGACGCGTGTCACTCCCGTTATTCCACATCGCCGAAGATCGCTCGCAAAATAAGTTGCTCATACCTATCCGCAATATCCGCGCGAGCGGAAACCATTTTTTTGCACGCCACCGCACCGCGCTGGCTGAAAATATTAATATTTCCGCGAACACAAACACACACATCACCTCTCCATGTCGGGGAAAATAATACTGATGGGACAAAAATAAATTCCGATTAGCTGTGTTGCTGGCACGGGAGGGAAAAAGGCGGCGCGCGGTACCACGCGGAAATGCCGATCGCTGCGACAGATAGGGCAAACGGCTCGCGGTCCGCAGTGTATAATAGATATTTAAATCCTGCGGTTCGCGAAAGCCGAAGCGTTGTGGCTCGCAGTGCTGTTGAATATCGATATTATTTCGTTTTGCGTCAGCGTGAGCGCGAACGGAAATAGGAATGAGATTATTGGTGACAATGTTACACGGGCCGCGCCCTACAAACCATAATATACCTTTTAATAACTTGTTCTCTAACAAATTGTTATAAATGTGATTATATAACGAATGCGATTATATAACAAATAATTATGTTAAGTTAAATTATTAAATAAGTTTTAGGAAGTTACGTTTCGAAAGCGCATTGATAGTGAACTATTGTTTTCCAATAAAGTTCCTGTGGATTATATTTTAATAAATATGTTGCTGCAAATACCTTAATTACATTAAGGTGAAAAAATTTACATTACGCTTGTAATTTGTTCATAAAACCAATCGCCTAATTTCTACAATCTACTAATATTTTTACTCTAAAACGGAGTTATAATTTCTTGATTTTTTTAAAGTGCGCAATAAAATATTTCGATGAGCAAGAAGTTGAGTTAATTTCGTCAGATTTCTACGATATAAAAATTGGGTTTAAAATTTCTTAAAACATGTATGGGTTAAAAGGATTTTGAGAGATCTAGGACATTTGTACGTAACAAAATATATGTACATGTACATACATATATATGTAGAAATATGCACCAGCCAGACGCGTTACACATTCCACATCTGCAAAAATTGCAGCCGTTGCAGAGTTAAACGAGACGATAAACAAATATACAAAGTGGTTGCAGATGGTTACATCGTGAAATTGTGTTGAGTGTACATTGAACATGGTTTTATTGATAAAACCGTATAAAAAGAGAACACGAATGTGTATATAATAAAAAAAAGAAACTATAGATACTGGTTGTCGAAATTTTAGAGAATACTACTCTTTCGGTGGAAGAAAAGTTTGCGTAGCATTATTTTCATGATTATAAATCTATAAATAATAATTTTAATGCTTCAGATATTATCTGTAAATATTTCAGATATAGTTCTTATACAATTGTAACATTACGCTTTGTAATTTGTTCATAAAACCAATCGTTCTACAATTTACTAATATTTTTAATGTAAAATAGAGTTATAATTTATTGATATTCTTGATTTTTTAAATGTGAGCAATAAAATATTCCGAATGTAACTATAATAATTCAACACAAGTGTGCTACGTACGCATTATATATTAATAACAATATAATAATGTATAATATAATAATAACATATATTAATAATACCACAATTAATGTTTAATTTTAACAGCATTATGAAGCATCAACTATGCAATTAATATATAAGTAGTTAAACCTCGTCTACAATACATGAGCGAATGTCAGAAATAGTTTCCTGTGAACGATAGTTTATAGTTATCTAACAATGTGAATAACGTACATACATACATACATACATATATAAGAGTTGACTTTTTTGCTTTTTAAGCGGGTACGCATTTGCAAAGCGCTCGACATTTTTTATCTTACTTCCGATTGACAGATAGTTGAAACAAATGTCGCAAAGGATTTGTCAGCGCGAGCACGATAAGCGTATCCAGTATCTGTGCATTTTTTTCCTCTTTTGATTCCCTTTCGAGTTTCAGATTCCTCTTT